GTACACACCTTAAAACATTTTCACAGTGGTGAAACGAACCCCCATCCCTCCACCCCTCTATACTTCGATGCCACTGGAAAAAGGCACAACATGAGAGCTAGCAGTTCCAGTGTTTCCCGATAGAGTACTACACTCGCTGGCGAGAAAGGTCGGTCGGTATCTCGTATTATCGCAGACCATGTAGAAACATTGGCCTGTTTTCAACGTAATTTATACCCATTTCACGTCTTTTTCACGATTAACTTATCACTGTAAAAAATAGATGAAATGTTTTCTTTATTTTCTACTGATTCATAATCGAAACTTACAGTCGATATTACAACATAATTTCAAATAGAGGACTCTGACTTTTTTCAGTGTTGCAAAGTATTCAATACATACAGTGTGCACAGTTTATGGAGATATTTATCTTAACCTGTTGGGTTTATAAAAAATGTATTTGTCATACATAACGTGTTATCAAACGAAATCAACTTTAATTTCTAGATTTCATATAATGTGTTGATAATGTAACGCAAATTCATAAAAAATATAATAGACTGTGAGTTTGTTCTGTGGTAGCGTACTGAACTCGTACTCAAATGGTCATGAGATCGAATCCTGGTCGAGTCAGAATGTTCTATTGTTTAATGCAACTGCTATGTTCTTGTAAATTATTTTGAGGTTCCCTGAAACGAAAGTTATATATTTTTGATCGGTTATGACATAGTTTTAGGACCCAGTATTAAGTTACGCTAAAGGAGCTCCGCATTGTTGGTATTACCGAGAGAAAACGGATTTGGGTAGCTTCTAATGGCGCAATGTTGATACCAAATTTCGTCAAAATCCGTCCAGTGGTTCTTGATTTGAAACGTGGATAGACGGACAGAAACACGGGCAGCCCACTTTACGTTAATTTTCTACAAATCTAGCAAGATAAAGCATAATAATGGACACGCATTTAACACTGAACAAGAAACTGTAGCATTTGGCAGTATTTAAGCTTCTGAAACAAACATGGAACTCCTACGGTACTTTGTGATAAATTGTGGGACCATTGTTAGAGTTGCTGCATTGGACTGATTTCGGCTGTAAATTTTCGTTTTCCGGCGTTGTGGGTGTAGCAGTGGTAAACCCTCACAATAACAAGAATAACTCAAGCAGCGCACAATCAGATACGGCGTTTACGTGACGGACTCCGTCGGCATCGGTTCGGGGGTTGTTTCAGAAGGGAGACAGACATTCACCTGCATCCACAGTTTTTTTTGTGAGTTTGTAGTAGGGGGATATGTGAAATTCATTACGAAGTGAAAGTGGGGGGGAAAAAGAAAGAAAGCCTGTTTTCATTAGACTGCCTTTTTCGAAGTCTCGTAGCAAGTAAAGAAATTTCCCACCACGAAGGCTGGAAATTTATGACTGTCCATAAGAGCCTTCTTTAAAATTAAATGTGATATTACCTTCTTATCTACTTCTGAATCTCCTAAGTGGTCTTTTTCCTTCAAATTTCTGAGTAAAGTGTATAAATTTTTCTTTCTCGTGCGTATTATATGCCGTGACCATCTCATCTGCTGGATTTGATAACATAAAGATATAGAGTGCAAAAAACAGATATTGAACCTAATTATGCAGTTTTCCTCAGTCTCGTGTTACTTCCCTCTAATTGCGACCAATATATCTCTTCAACAACCAGTTTTTCGACCCCCCCCCCCCCCCCCCACAACCGTAGAGATCAGGTTTTACTCCCATAGAAAACAACAATAAATAATAGTTTGTTTAATTTAAATAAATGTAAGCATATAGAAGACATAAATTTTCCACCAGAGTGAACAAACAAACTGGTTATGTCGTAGTAGTAGATTGGGGTTTGATTCCTGGCAGGTAAAGATAATTTAGGGTATTGTATTTCTTTTACAGTACGAGCCAAAAATTTATTTCGGAACAGTACTGACATTTCAGGAAAACTGTGAACTCGTAGTGTAATTTTTTTCGATATAATCCGGACGTAATTTGATACATACGAGTAGCTAATTGTCTTTATATAGCTTATAAAGCAAATGACATGAAACTGGTGAAAACTATCGTGTTTCTTCAAAGTACGTTTCGATGGCGACAGTTCGGCAAATAACCGAAAGACTCCGATCCTACTGTAACGAAGCCTCTCCAATAGAGTTGCCATAAAAATGGACACTCCAGATGATGGATGATCCAGCACCGGAGGTCAAGGTCAGACTTCGCAGACTAATTCGAAATCGCTTCTCTGTGCGTTGTTTCCAGGTCTCGCCACTTTTTGTAGGGTATTTTCAAATAAACGCCATTTATCAGTGACACTGTTAAGTCCATGCCAAGTTGAACGCGACAGTGGTCACTTACCCAGTAATACTTCTTTACGGCGTTAGTGCGTTACTTTATGTTTCCAAGACCCGCATTTTAGCGTTATAATATTTGTCAATAAGTCCAGTGATAGTAGAGAGTTCAGTGATGTGACTGAAAGGGTTGTTTTGGGTGAGACAGAGCCAGACATGCTCCTCCCCGATACAGCTCAGTA